AAAAATCCTCTATAAGTTTTAGCTCTTGATATAGTCTTTTAGATAGTGCGCAATACTCTCAAAGTTTTGTTTGAAGATAGCATGGGAAAATTTAGAAAAACTTTAAAAATGTTTTTAGATATAACTTACCGAACAAATAAATGAGTTTTATTCAAAATTCGAATCTCTACAAAACAAATGATAAAAAACCTATTTTGCAGAGCGTCGAATTTTCAATAAAAGATGACATGAACTATAACTTTTGATTCACTTGTCGCTAAGTTATATCTTAACTTTCTTAATTCGGCATAGTTATTCAACATTTTTTGTGTTTTTTTTTATTTTGTTCAATTTAATTCAATCAATTGCGTATTATATTCAAATTCAGAATATTTGTTAGAAATATTGTCTTTTTCAATCATTTTCTTCATGATTGAAATGTTTCTCATTTGTTAGCATGGGTAAGGAGTAATCTTTTAGATCAAACAAACGATTTAGTTCCAGATGTCGTTTTCTTACAAACACCAGATTGAAAAAGAACAGAAAGACTTTGCAGTAAAAAATTAAGTGGGAAAATTAGTAGAATGATTTCGCAAACGATTAAAAATAACTTGAAACCTCGAAAGCCGGATTTTCTAGTTCGGCTGACATTAAAAATTTGATTTCTCTTAAATTGTTGAGCACAACTGAACATACTTTCAAAGTAGTATTATTAAAATCAATTGATTGCTGCAAAATATCTTCATTAATTAGATATATCATTAAAATTTTGTTCTTGAATTATTCAAATTATTCACTATTTTCCATCATTGGTATTAAATTTTGCTGGTGTGGAAAGCGTAGACAAATTGAATGAACTTGCATGTCATATTAAATAGTTCTGTATGGATGCACTCAAAATGGGTCAATAAAACGGGACAAAATAGTCGGCAATGGGGTTGTATAATAGATTCTTTAATGGGGTGTCAATAAAAACTCCTATATGAAATTCCTCACAGTTCAGGGACGAATTCCAGAATGCACAGATTATTTTAATTTACGTGTTGCTAACCAGAACCAGAAGTTCTACTATCAGCTTGCTCTTGCAGTTGTTTTTCTTATAAACTAAAAGCTATAATAATTAAAATTTGTATATGTAAAGGGGTTGGCAACAATCGGATTATTAAAGTTTTTAATTCATTTAGCTTTAAAAATTCGTCAAAGTTTGCAAAAATTGGTATCCTTTTTTTGGCATTTGTCAAAATTAGACCTTTCATCGACGTTTTCTCTACAACGCCTGAACCGATTTCAGACATTTAAACTTGATAGGCATTTGATGTATCTCAATGAGGTCTACCGTTTGTTAGTTCCGTGCAACCATCTGCCGAGCCGTTTTGTTATAATTTGGAAAAAAGTGTTAAACTTTTCGTCCACATTTAAGCTCATCCTACCGAACGGATTTTAAAAAATCAAAAACTGTTCGAAAGATATTAGTTGGAAATGATACTGATTAGTTTTAGGTAAAAATCTACCGAGCCGTTTTCTTGTAATTAACTGTTGAAAAACAATTAAGCCGATTTTTATGGAACTCTTTTTAGCGGTATATATCATGGTCTTATAGAACTTACTGTAATATCACGGCCTTACAACAAGTAGTTTAACATCAAAGTTTGAGCAAATGAGTAGATTTTTTGACGTTTGTTAAAATTAAGTTTATTAAAAGAATATTTAAATTTTTAAATAATTTTAAAAATATAGTAATATTGTAGAAATAAATGAAAAAAATATCATTGCTTGACATTGAAAACATCTTGACAGAACTGTCACCAGCCAGAAATGACATTTTACTTAAAATCGGGTAATCTAGTATATATATATATATATATATATATATATATGTATGTATTCCCACCCACCTGTTGTACTTTGCGAATTCTTCGTTCGACCTGTTGCTCAGAAATTTAGTGTCTCTGGGTGACTTTTATTTCTTGAAGATTAAATTCCTGTATATCATCTTCATGTTGAAATAATGGACAAGGAATTATTTAACTGCAAAATTAGATAAAATATGTAAAATTTAGATTATTTGATATAATAGAAAAACAGAAAGCACGAAAGCTGTAAATTATTAGTGCAGGACTTATATATGTATTTAGTCTATATTATAAATATATTAACAATATAAATGGACCAAATTGAAGATGAAATAATTTATATGGTGATAACTTTTATACTTTTATACTTTTGAACTTGTCTAATTAACTTCCTGAAGGAGAAGTTTATGTTTTCATCAAAAAATTGATTCGCTAATTTTATGTTTTCTCGACGTTTTAAGCCATTCTAAATTGAATGAGACCAAAATCTATGTGTGTTTGTATGTGTGCGTGCGTGTGTGTGTGTGTGTGAACAGTTTATTTGCCGTAAATCGACGTTTGCTCAAAAACTACTAAACCTATTTCAAAAATGTAAAAGCCAATCGATGTATTTCGATGTGGATTATCTTTTCTCAGTTTTGTGCAGCGATCGGCCGAGCCGTTTCTTTGTAATTTGGAAGAAAGTGTTTAACATTTCGTACACATTTAAGCTCATACTACCGAATCGATTTTAAAAAATCAAAAACTGTTCGAAAGATATTAGTTGGGAATGATACTGATTAGTTTTAGGTGAAAATCTACCGAGCCGTTTTCTTGTAATTAACTGTTGAAAAAAAATAAGCCGATTTTTATAAAACTTTTTTGGCGATATATATCATGGTTTTATAGAACTTACAGAAATATTACGGCCCTACGACATGTAGTTTAAGTTTAAAAATTCATTAAAGTTTGAGAAAATGAGTAGTTTTTTTGAAGTTTGTTAAAATTAAAATTAGACGATTTACTTGGTATAACAATAGAGTACTTGGTCTTAATGAACATACTAAACCATTAAAGAACTACAAAAACTGGTTCAATTATAAAAATCATTGATTTGTGAAAATTTGCTTTTAGAGAATACTCTGAGTTAACATGTTCGTTCGTTTTCAATTGTGTGAAATAAATCCACTCGGAATACTTTTAATCACTAATAAATTAATTTATTTTTTATTGATTAAGTCGATTATTTACACATATCGGGAAGTTCATGTAACTTGCCTCAAGGCAAAATATACCAATACCAACTAGTTTACATATTTAAAATATTCTATATTACATGTATTTTTAGTTGTAAACATTTACTTCATTAATAAAAAAAGTTCTCTTATCCCGCAGGTATCTTTTATGTAATTATTTAAAATATTTTTATAATGATTTACCAAAAAATCTTCCAGTCGCCTCCAACGTTCAAATATGTTTTAGCAATCAATAAATAAAACTATACTAAATATTTAATCAATGTATTTTTTTAAATAATTTTTCAAAATAAAATTCTTTTCACTTTCTGAATTAAACCGCGTTGTTCACCGATTGATAACATACTGGCGGTTTTAGAGATATGACCGAGCTAAGAAAATGGAGCGGTTTGCACCCCTCAGTCATCTAAGATGGAGCTTTATTGAGGAATATGATTGGTGGAAAACATTGGCGTAGTCTTATTTTTTTATTCATTGTAATAATAATTCATTCAAAAAAATAAACTAATAATCAATTAACAAAACAGTTATATTATATTAATATTTTTTTTATAAAACTTGATTTTTTTAACTATATCTTTTTACTTTATATTCTTTTTCCAGGTATCTCCATTTCTTGATGATTCCATTGAGGAAACAACAGCTAATATTTTAAAAGTCGACTTTTCCTATCCTACACGATATTTTGGAAATATTTCCAATGACGCCTGCACACTTCTAACCAGATTACTAGTCAATCAGACTAATCAAAGGCCTACGGCAAGACAATGTTTAGACACATCATGGTTCCACCAAGTAAATAAAATTAATTATATTAATTAATCGATATTTATTGTTGTTGATACTTAATTCATATTATTATATTTTTATTATTCTATTTTCGAGCCTGAATAAAAATTACTATTTCTTTGATTCATGACTATGCTGATGTATATGGTAATGTTTTTTGTATCCAAGATGATTTTTGGATTTTCAGTTTTATATGATCTAAGTATATGTAATAATTTCAATTATCATAAATTAAATTAGTTTTTATGAAATCTAAATTGGTCTAAATAGAAAACACTCTGTTCACTATTATATTAAATTGTACTAAGAAGTGAATTATATATTTTAATTTTTTTGCAGAATTCTTCTCCCTGCAATGTTATACCTTCTGATATACTTTAAAACCTCATGGAATATATTAATATATTCTTATGAAAAATCGGTGTAATTAATTTTGAAACATTAATCAATCTACCAAATACCTGCATGAAAACTTTATTATGAGGTAATTTCAATAAATTGACAATCGTTTGTTTTATAATAAAATGTTTTAATATTAGATTTTTTTAATTCAGTGCATCCTCGTTCTTCCTTTTAATAATGTTTATATCTACTAATATGGCTGTGCAATAACTTGCATTGATTATTATTATTGTAGTTAATTGTAATAGTAATTATAATCATAAATTTTATGGTATATAATTTAGAATATTATTTATAGTTTGTTTTAAATACAAAATCTAAATCAAATATTTATTTATAAGCCTAAATAATTTCATTTCATTTCAATTTAAGCAAATTTAATAACTTTGAACAAATTTGCATGAATATAAATGAATTTCGCAAAGAATAAATTAAATTTCGCGCTTTGCGTAGCACATGTACTGGCACATTTTGCTAACTTCAGCCACTTTAAATGCCAAAGAAATTTTTGTGAGTAAACATGTGGCCGCGTTTAAATCTTTGATTAGATTTAATGAATTTGTGCATGAAATTATTTAATTAGTTTTGTAGAACAACCTGATATAAAAAAATTCATCGTAAATCATTCATAAAAAGCTAAAAGGATGTATGTGAGGAAGTTTGAAAATATATTCTTACTGCAACTGACATCTAGTGACAAACTTCAAGCTGATTAAGCTTAGACAATATAATAATGATGGATCGTAGCTGCTCTTTGACAGTTAGTTAGGTTAAAATAAACGTGCCGACTTATAAACATAAAATGAAGTTATTATTAATTATTTATTATAAATAATGGAAAACTATAGCAAAGGAAAAAATGTCGAAGAACCTTTTGACAAAGATAATATTCCTATCCCAAACTTACAACCAGACTTCCTTTGGATGCATGTCAAAGGAGGCACCAAAATATTCAATGTGTTACAACATGCTAGGAAAATATTTGATAAAAAAGAAGCCCGACAGGTAGTTTGGTCCGCTAATGGAGGAGGTGTCAGTAAAGCTATTACCTGTGCAGAAATTATGAAAAGGGATTATTATCCTTTACATCAGATAACTAAGATTTGCTACACGAAGTAAGTTTGAATTAGAGATACTTGGTAGATCCAATTTATATTTTATTCCGTCCTAAATTTTTAGAGTTGAAGAGTATTGGGATCCAAAAATAGAGGATTTAGAGCAAATCGTGGTCACTAGACAAATTCCAGCAATACATATATTATTAAGCATAGACGAGATAGATACAAATGAACTTGGGTATAAAGACAACCTAATCCTTACATTTACTTTGGTGATTGGTTTTAACTCTTATTTTACCTCAGATATCAACCTCCGGACAGTACTAATACATTCTGGAATACTGACACAGGTCCGTCACAGCCTGTAAAAAAATTTAAACCAAGATTCGATTACTACAAATCAAACAGTGGATCAGGATCAAGACAATCACCGAATGTTGCTGAAGAATTTGCTCAAATGGGTTTACAATCCGGTGAAACAAAGAAGAGGCTGAAAGCCAATGATTTTAAAGGTAATAGACAAAAGAAAAAATCTGTAAATAAACCTGAAAGTTCGAAATCTGCTGAAGATTCTAAAAATGAATAAAATATTTCAATTGGTCATTTTTACGTATGAAGAACGTTTTATTTATTAATTGATATTTTATTATATTATAATATACATTCGTAATTCACATTAGCGCCTTTTTTATTATATAATATATATGTTTAATTTTACATTAAAACACCACATAAACTAGGTTTTTAGCTATTCCACTTCTATAAAAATGCTTTTTATGACAGTATATGTTTACCTCAAAAAATACTAGAGCACACTCTATGCAATTGAGTTGAATACTAAATGAGATTAAAAACTGGGCAACTATTCCTTAAATTTATATTTTTGGATAAGAATTGTGCCAGCATTTATAAAAATGTTTATAAAACTTAAGATCTACTTTTAATAGTGAAAAGTGATTGATGACAATAAAAATATATAAAAACTTGTAAAATTTTACATTTGTTTTATGACCTAAAATAATGATAGAGAAGAATACTGTTATAAAAAGTATATCTTTATACAAATTACACATAAATGATTTAAATAAAACGGATCACTACAACAAAGAAAAATAAAAAAATGACATGCACAGAATATTTTAAAATAAATAACATAAATGCTTAAGCCTCTGATTCTCCGATAGTTGCATCCTCCTCTAAAATGGGCACAATCAGATTGTCTTTTGACATTAAGTTGTACTTTGTTACAAACTGTGTAAATCTATGACATAGATATGTTTCAGCTTCAAATTCATCAAAAATTCTGCGATGGTGAAAATAAGCATGTGAAAATATTCTATACACTCTTCTGCACACTGAACCTAGTTTAGCAACTGATGACTCTTTTATACTCACACTACAATAAAAAAAAAAACTATAATACTGATTTCTTAGTCATAACAGTTTATGTAACTTACCGACTGGGAAAATATTTATTACTGTTTAATAAACAAGCTGCACCATCTAAAGTGTGCCTTGTATAATCTATCGCTGGGCATTCTTTTGGAGTTTTGTGGGCAGCACATAGAAATATCCATTGTTCAGTTGCAGTCATTTGTGTACATTGTTCAGGAAAGCATTGTCCTTGTAGGCGCACTGCTAAACCATTCAATTCCATACAAAACTGACTAGAAGAAAAATATTAGTACGAACATTAATATATACATATACAGACTTAATAATATACAACTCTAGATAGACTTTTGCACTATGCTTGGTCAAACACAATCTATGTAACAACTTTCTCTTTTCTAAAAAATTCTTCATGAATTTTATCACTACCTATGATTAAATTTTAATCAAATTTACCGTAAATGCTCATATTTCCAAACTCCTTCATCTTGTGCATCTGGCATAGTCAATATTAGATCAACATTGGAAGGTTCTCTTCGAATCATTTGTTGTATATATTGCTGGACAGCTAAAGTACTGTCCATTTCTTCGAAAGGCTCATCTGGCCATCTACAAAAGTCCTAATAGAAAAAAATTATAATATAATATATACCAATTTGATTTTGTTTAAATAATACTAGCAAGACAATTTTGTGTACACAAAACTATGAAGCAATATTAATATTTCTAGGACATAATCTTTCACACTTTTTGGAATAATTGCTTTGAAATTCACAGTAAAAAAATAATTTTTAGTATGTCCTTATCCAAACACAGCATCCAACCATCTAGTGACCCTTCAGAAGTCACCCAAAATCACTTTTGGGGCACAGTTTTCACCCATATTTTTAAACGAAAACAATAAATTATCATTTCTACAACAATTCCTTGCCTTTGCTTTTGTGCCAGGCCTATTTCTTCGCAATATCGTAGCCCCGTCAGCCATCTTCATGATTGGTGACACAAGATTGTAGGATTTTAAAGAACTTTTTTGACAGCTCGCCTGTGCTTCTACTTTCATTGATTAGTTGTCAGAATTTCGTTAAGATGGCGGACCTAGCCGGAAACTGATAAAGGTACTGGCACACAGGGGGATTATAAAAAAATCCTTACAGGTTCGCAAACCTAAAAATAACTAGTGGGGTGGGTGGCATCGTGCCTTAAGGCAAATTGCTGGAACTTCCCGTGTCGTAACGAAATGTTCGAGGAATACTGAATGTTTTCAAATAGATTATTATAAATATTGTAACATTGTCTAATATTTATAAGAAGTATATACTGAATTGCAAAGTTGAAATTATTTGTTTAAAGTATATTAGAACTATAGTCAGAATTAAAAATAAAATCTGAATTATTTTTGATATACTAAAAAATGAAAGATTTTTTTTCCAAAATCAATTATTTTGTTAAGACAAGCAGAAAGTTCTTTGAATCATTCAAATCGGACGCTTAGTTCTTTCAAAAACTGCCATTTTTTACATATTTAGCTCCGTATCTTCGAAATGGCTGGGCCTGCCTTTGCCAAAAACTAATAAACACTTCTTCCAATCGTTACTAATTGAATGTTTTTTAGATCTCTCAAATCGGATACTCCGTTCTCTCAAAAAGTCGATTTCTATTTTCTGCACTCTTTGCTACGTATCCCCGAAACGGCTGGACCTGCCTCTGCCAAAAACTAATCAGCTCTTTTCCATATCGATAGGAATCGAATGTTTTTTGAACCATTCAAATCGGTTGATCCGTGCGCCCGAAAACGTGACTGGAAATTTGTATCCATACATACATACACACACACATCCATTTTTTCTGAGGTATGCCAAAATGTTCAGAAACCTTCAAAACGTCTAGAAATGTAAAAATTTTCAATTCCGATTTTCGGCCCATTACAATAACTTACCCTACGGGAAGTTAATAAATATAATAATAAAGTATTTATAATAAATAAACTTTTATTGCTACGTATAGATACTACCATAGATAAAATAAGAGTATATATATCGCTATTTCGAGCCATATTTCGTTGCCACGTTTTTCTGATCAATTCTTTTTATTTGCAAGGGTTAGTTCTCGTCTCCCAGTGTAGATGGCGCTAGCGTGACCATGTAGAAATGCACCAATATTATATAGAGCGTTGAATTCGAAATTTAAAAAATGAAAATTGCATTTCAAAAAGTATTTATTTTTAAATATTACATACATGATTACAGAGGATGGTATTCAGTTTTAGAAACTATACATACAATAATTTGTAAAATGTATATATTTGCTTGTTTATATATGCGTTATCGTATTTTTAAATATAATTGTTTTTTTATTCGTTTTTTGGCTGTTACGATACGTTTCGATTCCCAATTTTATTCGTTCTAATTGGACAAAAGATACAAATTACACAAAGAAACACAACCCAAATAAGAACATAATCAATAAAACTAATACTTTACAACAACCATGTTTGTGAAAACGAAGAATCATTAAAACATCAAATGAATAATATACTTTTTAACTATTATTCCTTGCAAAAATTTATTTAAAGGACTACTTTCCGAAGAATGTTTCATTTAGCTATATTACGAAAAAGTAATGAATGAGTGCATTGATATTTTGATACAAACTCTTTGTTTAGGAATTGCATTTTGAAGCAATTTTTACACCCAGTTTCATATATTTAAAAATTTTGGCGATTTTAAACACATGGAAAGTGTATCTAGAAAGACAAATTATGAATGAAAAGTTCCATCAATATCACATGAGAGTAATCCTGAAGTTCTCTATGTCAAAGTATTTAATGTTAATAAATTGTGTTTTATAATAATTAATTATAGTTAATTTCAAATTTAATATTATGATATGCAAATCTTAAGTATCTACTATTTTCATTTTACTTTTATTTCTCAAACATTCTTGCATAGTTTTGTCCAATTTTTCTTAGTTTCACTGAATGAAGGATAAGACTATAGCCGAAACGTATATATTTTAATATAATTATTGAAGCCAATTCATCCAATCCATTTTTGCTAATATTTAGCCTTATTCTAAGACTCTCTTACAAACTTAAAATTATTAGCTGTAAGAATTTAGTTAGGGACAGGTTGGATCCAGTAAGATTCAAGTTAGAACCATAATAGAATCTAGTAAGAGATATTGTTAGAATCAGTTAGGAATATAACTTTCTGATTAGACCAAAGGTCTAAGAGCCACTGGGAAGTCCAGATTGTAATTATATGAAAGAAAAAACATTTTTATATTTCAGTTGATTATATGGACAACATTAACTATATAAATATAATTTGTATTGAGGTAAACAAACAGTTTTTCATTTCTTATCTCTTTTTTATGACGGATAAAATTATAACCAAAACGTATTGATTGTAATGTTATTTTTGAAGCAAGTTCAATTTTTATTGCCATTACGCCCATTCCTTAGACTCTGTTAATACCAAATTCAAAATTATTATAATTAAGAATCTAATCAGGATCTGGTTGGAATCTAGTCAGTTTCAAGTTAGAACCATAATAAAATATAGTTAGAAATCTAATTAGAATTCTAGCTTTAACCACTAAGCCAATGGAAAGCCCAGATTGTAATTAGATGAAAAAAATAACATTTTCATGACTCAGTTGATAATTTAGATAATAATAACTATCATCACCATCAGTGATTAATAGTTTAAGATCTTAAATATGGAAGTCTTCGATAGATTTCGAATGATTATAGTACACTGATACAATATGATGATACAAACCTAGTCTCGAAACGTTTGTAAAATTAATATTATTTAATAAATTAGTGTATAAAAAGAGGACTGTTTGTTCATATTTCTAAATTCATAAATGAATATGATGATAAATAATTTAAAAAAAATTACCATTGAAGCTCTGTGCAAATAACATAGCATATACTCCTAATAACTTCATTTACACTAATCTAGATTATTAATCTTAATTTAATAATAATTATACCTTCGTTTCGAACATGCGCCTTTATCCTTCCTGCAAAACTCACGTGTCCTCCACGAATTGCAACAAAACAGAAGTCCCGTGTCGGTCGAACCAGGCACACGTCCTTGTAGCCTGCACATATTCGGTAAATAAATCGAAAAAAATAATAATTTAAAATATAAAAAATAATTATTTAATATATAAAAAATATTAATGCAGAAAAGTATTTTTAAAAAATGTCGAGGTCTATAAGTAATATACTATAACTCGTAGACATGGTAAAAAAAGTGATTTGTGGTGCATTTGTTTTGGTCAAGTGTTGAGGTAATTGTTATATTTAAAAAAAATATATAAATATTGTGATTTAATAAATATGAACAAATGTATTTTTAAATTGTTTATATATACATATGCTTATGTTATTTTATTTTTAATATACATAATATAAATTAAATATAATATAAAAAATAATAACATAAATCTGTGGCATGAGTACAAATGTATTGAATATTATATAAGTTTGTAAAAATAGAACATAAAATTTTTTATTGTTTAGTTCGACATATTTTTAATTGGAAACTTCTAAAAAAATATTTTTCATGTATATCATTCTTGATTATGATTATTATTATTAATTAAAAAAATACTTTCAATATTCTAAAAAATAAAATAACTAAACTTGAATAAAGTTTTGTTAAACAAAAATTACAATATGCATATGTATATATAAACATTTTCAAAATACATTAAATACAAAAATTAAAATAGTGTCTTCTATTATCAATTTAAAATCAATGTTGAAATCTATCAACAATCTTAAAACTATTTTTTAAAAAATGAATAAATATCATAATTTTTGATTTTGAAAGTATAAACCAGTATAAAATGATTATAAATAAAAATAACAAAACTAATATCTTAAATATATAAAGGTTTTATATTAAATATATAAATTTTTCACATATCATATGTGTTCTTATTCTTATTAAAGTATTATGTTTATTATGTGTGTGATTTTGTTTTTTAATTAATTTTCAAGTTTTCTATATTTTTGTATAACATTTCATAATAGCCATTATAGGTTCTATAGTGAAAATAATATCAACACCTAAATAAAAAATATTATTATCACACTTTATTATCTACAGTTTTTATGTTATCCTTCTATCTTATTCATATACTTTTTTTTAATGTGTTTCTATATTAAAAGGTTATGGTGATCGTATGTAGTAATTAGACAAGAAGCAATTTCATTGGCTTTCTAAATAATTATTTTAAATATTTAATTAATTTAAATATGAAATGCTATGGTTTTATTTAAAATGTCGGTGCCAGAAGTCAATTTGTCAAAGTGTGTGAAATTGTGTTATTGAAGTTTAGTTGAATTTTGCACCAAGTCACAATGGAATGGATAACAGCCATAGACAAAAGGTAATAATAATAAATAAATAAAAATATATTAACTTTTAAAAACCAAAGAGAGAAAAGTATGTCAGCATTCCTCGAATGCCCATAATTCTGACAGATATAGCATTCGATTTTAAAAGATTGCAATTTTTAGTTCGATTGGAATTTTGCAATCACGACGAAGCTTTAGGTCAATCCATGGTCAATCTTTGTATTTGTGTAGTTTAGATTTAGATAAGGATTGCTTTTCATATGGACAACTGATGTAACCAGACAATCTCTCTCAACCATTCTATCACAATGTGACAGAAAAAAAACAAGACTTTTTATAAATGAAAAATTATGAACAATAAATTGCTGTGGTAAGAGCTTGGTCTTGCAACTAAAAACCCTAACATAAAGAATTAATGATATCATTTTTCATATAGATTTGACTTTTTGTTTCGTAACAACACTACTATATCTAAGTTTTTTATTACAATATTGAATTAAAATTATCCTGAAACATATGTAATTTTTACTAGTAGTTTTCTAATTAACATTCACTCAATATTTACCTCGCAGAACCGAGTTCGTTGAAGTCTATTGTTGACATTTACGTTGCACAGTGCCAATATTTGCATGAATACCCCGTGTTACACCGCATTCAATCGATTTTAATATTTTTTCAAAGTCAGTGCTTTGACATATACCTACATAATATATATATATATATATATATATATATATATATATATATATATATATATATTATACAGAGAACAACATAAGGTTCCTTTACGTTTTACGCTGTGATCATTTGAGCGTAGCAATGTGTATCCTAAACCCGTAGCCATGAATATTTAGACAGGTTTTTAGTATAAAACTTATTCAATTAATAAAGTATTTATGTGTATACAGTTATATACACTAATAGAATACACATTGGTCATAAAACATACAATTGGTTTCCCACCTGACATGACAGTTTCATGTACTGACACATTTTTGCAAAGGCAGGCCAGAAAAATTGTAAAATATTGACATTTTGTGGTTTGAAATGATTAATAAATATTATTATTATTTATTCATATAAATGTAGGAATATTAACACACAGATGGCATGGGGAAAGAAGAACACGTAGACAGGTAAACAGGCAAACAGGTAGACAGGTATATAAGTAGTCGAATATATAAGTTGGGTTGACAGGTTGGAAAGTAGACATGAAGACAACAATATATAGATAAATAGACAGAAAACAGGTACAAAAATAAGCAATTTAGGCAGGTACTCACATAAACAGGTAAACAAGTAAACTGGTAGACAAGCAGATTATATACAAATTAAATATTTATTGATTAAATCGATTATTCAAATATTTCAGGAAGTTCATGTAACTTGTTTTTTGATTTGAAGATTTTAAATTTCAAATGACAAACACCATATAATTTAATGTTTTACAAAAAATACTCAAAGACCTTGTTTTATATAAACTCTACAAAACCCTTCTCAGCCCAGAAACCTGTATCATATATATTCGTCGCCAAATATTGAAAATAGATGATGCTTTTGGGTTTGATCAATTTAAGATAAGGTTATTGAGTAGAAAAGATTTCCTCAAGAATGACATCAAACTAAATAAGGCAAAATGAAAACCAAGACATGGAAAAATGAATCATTCTTATAACCGTGTTCGGGTAAGCCAAGGAGATTATTAAATGAGCATTAAAATGCATGATTTAATCCAAGGAGATTATTAATTAGCATAAAACAGTTCCGGTGGTTAAATGTAAATTATTAAATAATTTCAAATATAGATTTTCCTTGCTAATCCCTCCCTGGGATACAAACGCTAATGAAACACTTCAATAATTTGCAAACGGCAACCCTTATTCTACCCAAAATGTGGGTAATGTAATAATATATGTATAAGACTCATATCGCTTATATAAATAAATATATACACTATGATTTGGGCTTATGTAAAGTGCGTTCTGGATTTATATATAAAGCACTGAATATTGTAATTATCTATTTAAATAATTAAAAGAAAGCCTTAAAGAGCCTGAGAAAGATAAAAAATTTTGAAGGTGACAAAAACATTCAACTAGTTGCAAAAATTCCTTGCGGCCGTGCGGCATTTACAGCTAGTTTTCAATAACGTTTTGATATTTACTTATTTATTTATAAAAACATTGATCGTTTGCGTGCCCATGTTTATAAAATACTGTCAGCTCAGTTCCCAAAGTATTTCTAAAAAAAATATAACAGATAAGAATTTAATTCAAATGCACCAACTAGTGGGCAATTGCATCTTTTATATCGACAGTTTGATACAACTTCAAATGGTTTGTTTACAAACCGAAGTTTCTATCTATACAAAGCACCATTATCGGTCTATGTTAGTTAATATTATGGCGATAGTCGAAGTAATACGTTCATTTCATCCCTGCGTCTTGTAGGGACTAGAACAAAGGCGTGTCGACCCGGGCGCCGAATATGCACCCGGGTCGCCATCGTCGCATGTTCGAGGTCTCGAAGAAAGCAGGATAGTTTTATATTAGTAAAATTAACGTTTGTGCTTGGATTCTTCATAACTGTGTGAGATAAGTGAGTATTGCATATTATTTTGAGGAGTTTAATCAATACAGTCAACCCTTTGGAAACGCGGCTTTCGTACTACGCGAAGCCGAAATGGAAGACGGTCCTTTTATAACACGGTTTTCGTTTAACATCGCATAAGTTCTATTAGTGCGACTTTTTGAGAAATAAATATTGTTGGAAAAGGTTTAAATATAAGTTTTGTTATTAATTATTTTTTATTTTTTACAATATGTTTGTATATACATGTCAGGTATCATTTCTTATAGGTACGCACTCATCGCGTTACCGGAGTTTTGACTGTTTGTGTTTGTGATCAAATAATAATATATTTATATATATTTTATATTTATATATTAAATAATATATATTTAATTTTATTATAATTATTTTCACAACTAACAAACTAAATAGATTATAGTAAAACATGTTTATTTGCGGTCTTAGATTTAGTTACGTAAACAGTTGCATTGGCGAACAACTCGATGAGCGTACGATTAACATTTTATTTGCAGAGTTTATACACACCATTGAAATTAAATTGTAATAATTTAAATATAAGTGCTCAAGCGTAAATCACCAATGGATAATATCCTAATCTAGCAAATTGTTTAATGGAACAATTTTTATATTTTTTTAGAATAATCATTAAAATATGTTTGTTAAGTTAATTTAATTTTTTTTATTTTTTTGTAGTATTATTATATTATTTTATTATTTACTATTAATATATATTATTATTATTATTAGTTACTATTCTTATGTTATTATCTTTATTTATTCTTATTTAGTTATTATTAATTTAGTTAATTATTTTATAATTATTATTATTAGTTGATTATATAGCTGATTAAGTAAATAATAATTTCTTATTGAAAAAATGCAATAAATATGCAATAATTTTATTTTGACTAAAGTTTTCCATCAATTTCGAATTTAGAATGCAAATTCGTCTCGGAATTGATTGCATCACTTCAGTACTTCAATAAACTTCTTAAATGATTTATTTGCTTCGAAACTTGTTCAGATAACACAATTATTGCAGAAAATGGATAAATAATATTAGTAAATATATGAATACATTGTTTAAAATATTTTTAATAATACTTTGAGTAATATACTTTATATGAATTATAATGTGTAAATTAAAATATTAATTAGCCAATGAAGAAAGCAACAATTTCGAATCATTTTTTAATATTATTTCGGAATATTTACAAACCATCATTGATTTAAATAGAAATTTTATTTGTATATTATGTTAAATTTTATTGATTAGGAAATATAGCATATAATACTTAGGGTATAAGCATATAATATTTATATTACTATTAATTTAAGCAAAATTTTATCTCAAAGTTGCATGAGCATTCCACTATGAGTGAATATCTGACCTAATCAGCAAGAATTTAGATTTTGCAACTTTTAAAATTTTCACAATAATATTTCCAAATTTTTAATTCGAAAACTAATTGTAAATGTCATTTTGCCTTAACATGAATTACATGAATGATAAGTGTAAATAATTAATCAGTAAGAAATAAGACTTAGAAGCGCGACCCATATCATTCCCAATTTCAGAGTACTTTTATAAATCCTCTAAAATCACTCTTCGTAGGCCAATAATATTTTAGTTAGAATGTTATAAATTTGAGAAGCCAACATTATTTATCTATCTGAGCTAGAAATTCATATAAAATAACTATGTTGTTAAACAAACTTGTAATTTTATTTCTTTAAAATTCTCGTAATTAGAATTGAACATTTTTTTAACACTTTGGGGACGGCTGTCCACCTGAGAGGACAACGTACTCTGTTAGGCTATCTGTAAGGCACAGGTTATTTTATAAACAATGACTCAGTTTGCATCGAAACGTTGAATAGATTACATAAAGCAGTGATAAACAGTGTTGTATTTTGAAAACAATTTTTTTTTTAATTTCTATTTGGCCTCGCTTACTCTGAGCATATAGCTTGCTTCTACATTTTATTTATTTACATTTTATACTATTTTTTTATATCATATTCAATCTATATAATCTATATCCTATTTTATATTTTTCTTAATTTTTCTTCTTCAATGTCTTTCAATTAATTTTCTTCAATTTGACTTTTTTTATTCTCTTTTTTCAGTTCAGGTATATTTTGCGATTTTTTTGGTTTCTGCATAGCACTTATGTAGATCATGAAATGATTATGGGGTTGTATATATATATATATATATATATATATATACATATTATTCTAGCTCCTCGAAATTCTACAATGAAACATTTAGTAGATGAAAGCATAATAAACTTGTTTCCCCACCGAAGATTGCGGTGCCTAATGGCATTAGTCTAACAATCTGATATAACTTAATTAATTTAATTAGTAATACTCGTTGGAAAGCATCATTGACAAAGGAGAAAACTTCTACTGGTTCGAATTTACTCGAACGATCGTCTATAATTGTCAACGTAGTACTTACAAACTTTAATTTGTTCTAAAGTACACTACATTTTTTTTTTAATTCCTGAAGTTTTTAAATGATCTTTTTGTTCTTGTGTTCTCTTCAGGTTAGTTTTTTTTTCAAATTAAATGGACGTTTTTTGATTGCCAATTATTGTCTCTTTGCAGATTTACATAGAAAATTTCTACTAGTACGAATTTACTCCAATGATAGTCTATAATTATCATCGTAGTACTTCTAAACTTTAATTTGTTCTAAACATTTTTTTTAAATTCTTGAAGTTTTTAACTGACCCTTTTGTTCTTATGTTTCACTCTTAATGCTAGTTTTTTCTAAATTAAATCGACGTTTTTCTGAATGCGAATTATTGTTTCTTCGTAGATTTTCTATTTCTAATTTTTAGCTTCATTAACATTTTAGCTAATTTTTGACCTGAAGGTAATCTCTTTTTCAGCTTTATGGGGTTTTTAAGAATTATTCATTTGTTTTTATGCAATTTTTTCAGTTTTTTGTGATTTACATTGTTTGTTTAACAAAGTTTTAAATCTCGTTCATTATACTAAAATTTAGTAAACTGTATAAGATGCAACAATAAATTTTATTTTGGTATATATCTTGGTAGATTAAATTGACCTTGGCAGATTAAAAATTAAAAACAATACTTTTATAATAAACATACAAGTGGAGATTAATATGATGCTCCATGATGTCGATGTGAGAGTACATTTTTATTATATACTAGCTGACCCGGCAAATATTGTTTTACCATATAAGGAGATTAATATGATGCTTCATGATATCGATATGAGAGTAGATTTTTATTATATTCTAGCTGACCCAGCAAATCTTGTTTTATCTTATAAGGTATTTGTAAACAATTTCTAGTGAATCCAAAACTTGTAATTTCAAACATTTCAAAAAAGTTTATTTTTTGAGTTTCTAATATAACACTTGCAACCCGTTTAGCAATGTTTTTGCGTATAAATAAAACTAAAAACTACAATAATTAATATTCATGTACAACATAAATTATTAACATAAAACTTAACATGAATCAATTTGACATTTGACGTATGAGCCGCATTTTGAATTACGTTGCTACAAAAAAAGTAAACTTATTAAGTTTTTAGGCGATTTTGAAATAGTTTCTCATTTTTCCCACAACCTCTGGATTAGCACGAATATTTCAAGATTAAAACTGGCCAAATCGGTTCAGTCGTTTTTGAGTTTTAGCGGAACTAACATAACACTGAGCTCCATTTTTATATATAAGATATATATATATATATATATATATATATATCAAATCGTTCATTTCATATTCAGGAAATAATAAATGATCTACATCTACATAACAGAAGGGTATCTATATAGAGGTATTTAATAATTTATAATACAAGTCAACCACGATCAATTAATCATGTCACGAGATTTGTGCAACATGAAAAGTATTTTATATATATATATATATATATATATATATCTACAAATGTATCCATTCCCAACTTTGACAAGAATCTATCTAACCATTCAAAGCAAGACCTTCGGGGCGGGGGTCTATATTTATCAATAGAAATACTTGGTGGAAGTTTATGATATGATTTACCACCTTCATATCATATACCTTGATATATAGTAGAATCAGGAAGCAAAAGTTTCGTTCGGTACGTAATTGGAAAAGTTTTAACAAGGGCAATTAAGAAACGTTTGCGCCGAAAATGAGGGCGACGATTCGGGGGCTCCTTCATCTCTGCTCGTTATAATCGACTCGAATCGTTATTGGAGGTAGAAGATATCTAGGATGTAATGTGAGACTTTAAAATTTGTTTTAAATAAGTTGGATATACAGTTTATATAGGGTACGGTGGGGCACAGAGGTCCAATTTGACTTTAAGCAATTATATTGTGAAAATCAAACTAATTATATCACAACAAATAACACATATCAAACAAACAACTACCTGACTACGTTCAGTAAAACTTCCAGTTATTTCTTCATTGTAGAAATGTTTTTTTGCAGTTGTTAAAAAAATTGTCAACTGATTCTTTTTTTACCATAGGTTGGGTAAAATGGGACTGCCAAGGTGCAAACAGGTCCAAGCTCTTATTTTTAATTTTAGAAGGATTTTACGCAATAATAGCTAAATTATTCAACCAATACAAAATATACAATTTATGGGTATATTTATTTTACTGCATAAGACTGTATATAACCTTGATCTGGTATGTCGTCAGTAATATTTATGGACAGAGTTGGAATAACCATTTATGTAAATCTCTTGTAAAATTGTTTTTTTTTAACTTAATTAACATTTTTCTTTACTATTTTTTAATGTTTACAACTTTGCTAGGGTAAAGGTTAAGTTGGTCCTTTTTAACCCAGATGTAAACTTTTTTAGAGGTTACATAAAACAACTGTCGAATCTAAATTAAAATTAACAATGACTCCTATAAAATAATTAAATAATCCAAGAACATTATTCAGATATCATAAACTTAATACAAGAGCTCAAAACCAATAAAAACTATAATGCAACAAAATAATTTTAGTATAGAT